ATTTCCTCAAACTTCTGCCACATCGAGCATCGGCCGTCGCACAGCCTTAAAGAGGTCACTTATCTGCTGCATACAGCAGGATTAATAAGCGAGAACACGCTGCTGCTGACGCCTTCTTTCTTTTTTTCCACCTTTTTCTCTTACAATTCTCACTACTGTCATCAGTCACCCTCCTGTAATTCCCATCTTAATTGACGACAACCGCAATGCCACTGTAATTCTACCATCTGCACCTATCTCCCCGCACCACCCGCTGGACGCCAATCGCAAACAGCTCCTTATAAGGCCACCCTATCCCTTTTCCCTTTCGACGTTCAACGTTCGCACTCTAAAGCAAATTGGTCAACAGGTTGCACTCGCTCGCACGTTGGACACTTTAGATCTTGGCGTGTGTTGTGGGTCCGAAACTAGGATCAGTGACCCTAACGAGGCCGTTGAATTAACTGCGCCCGGCTTGTCCTCTCGCTAGTGGTTGCACGCATTTGGAGACACTGATGTGGCTGTCACTAGTCAAGCTGGGGTGGGTATCGTTCTCAGCTACATAGCTGATTTATCGTTGGTTTGTTGGATTCCTGTATGCGGCCGCTTGACAGGATCAACTAAGGAGGCTTCACCAAGTTGCACTAGATGCTGTTTGTTTGTGGTTGCCGTTTGTACACCCACTGACTACAATTCTTATTGTTCACGTTGGTTCATCGCAATTAGATTCCAAGCCGCATAGGTAAGCTACCAATCCGGAAAAGCACCAGGCGCGCGTTTCGGCCTATTGGGGCTCGTCAGTGGTGCGCATCCATCGGTCCTCTACTGGGGATCGAACCCATGACTGCCAGAGGCTAACGCCAACTATCCAGCAGCTTATGCCACTGAGCCATGGGGACGACAGCCAACCATTACGAATTGAAACCTGACTGAGAAATAGCCCGACCCATCCTCCACTGCTGTGCAAGTTTTTGCCCTTGCAGAGGATTGGTTGGCCGTCACGGTCAGGTCTTGCCTTGCCAGCGCCGTGAATCCACACCGCAATTTTGAATACTGGTAGGGCTTAGATTTTTGTTTACGAATAAGCCACAAGCACCTGACACGAATTGAACACGCTGCTTCGCAGTGTTACCAGATATCGTTGTTGTTGCAGAGGATATCGAGAGGTAGCCAAACGATAACTTGGTCGAGGACAATGAAGGTCTTTACTTCGATGTTGGCCTCGGTTGGAGACTCTCGGCTCCCTGATTTGGGTCCGAAAGACGATGCACACGTTTAGCTGGATGCAGTTGTTGACATGGCTAGGAGCCGACTTCAATGGTGTTCGTGTTATTGGTTTCCTTGTCCCTTTCACTTCAGCTTAGCCTCTCCAGAACGATGTCCATCCGTTATCGGTGACTCAGCCGGTGTGCCTTTGTTGCTTTTTTCTTCTTTTCTAATGTATTGTGGCACAATAGCTGAGGTGTTTTCCACTAGCTAACGTGTATAATGATGATGATGCGTTGGTTTGGGCACGTGCCACTTAGGCCCGGTCACTACTTACCGTCGAGGGCCTTGTTTTATTTGCTAAATGTAGGGTAGCTCAAGGCTTGAGGTAGGCAAAAGTTTACTTGGTTAGGGAAGATGGTCACTAACGACCAAACTGGGATTGTGTTTGTCTCTCTTGCCTTCCTGGCTAAATTCCACTTGACGCGTTTTGTGTTTGTCTTGAGATATCACAGGATCTGGCTCGTAGTCGTCACCACTGGCGCGTTTGCTGTCGTCTCCTTGTCGGACTGCCTGTTCAAAATGTGTTTGCTACTATCTGCGGAGTAATTGCTGATTATGATGTCGGGCAGGGAAAGCTGCAAGAAGCTGTCTCGCCGATTCCACTTTTTCGTTGCACGATAGTCAGCTGTTTGTGACGGTATGTTGACAAGATGTGGGCGTCTTGACAGTGAATGTTTGCTTAGGGTATTTAGGTTTTACGCTTGGTTATCCTTCCGTTCTTCTCATTATTATTCCCTCCGGAATTCCTTTTGTTTGTACTACAGCGAAGCATCAGTTCAAACGGCGTATGTGCTGCTGTTGTTATAATGAGTATGCTTCCCAGCCTCCCTTGCTTTGCCTTTATGACTGTAGAAGTGGTCGTGGATGTAGGCGAGGGAGTCAGTTCTCTTACGCGACTGTGCAGTGAGGGTCACTGTATGTTTCATGAACTTATCAACTGTGTGTCTCGAACATTCAGAGGTTGTTGATTTCTGCTCAAATGCACTTACGTATGGGCGATTTCGTACTGGGGCTGCTTAGCTGTCTGTCTAGAAGTGCGGTGCTTGCACTTATTTTTTCATGCACCCCAACCTTTTCACTCGGCGAATGTTCTTTTTTGCCATCTTTTCTTTTCTCATTATGACACCTGGAACTATTCGCGTATCTCGGAACATATTTGGAACCGATCGGGAAGTCATCGTTTCAAAAAACTTGGTCGACGACCGGTTACTCTATTTATGGTGATACACAACGTTTCGCTTTTGACACAAAAGCTTCATCAGGCGAAGGGAATTAGCTTAACATTGGCATTTTATAACGATCATGGCTAAGCTACATACAGAGACTAATCAATTTGCAGTCCATCGATGAAACATTACAACACTCAAAGGTCACTAGGCTCATGTGTACACTGTGATTTGTTTCAGTCAGGGTCAAATGAGGAAAATAAATTGCTGGTCCGCGGATAGTTACATGTGTGGTCAGCAATCTTAAGTGATCTGTTGCAAGGAACTTGGTCACTGATATAACTTAGCTTTAGTACTTCGGAATTTGGTGCAGGGAGGGTCGATAGTCCATGCCGATTTGGGATCCATTCACCGATGCTTGTCAACCTGGCCGGAGTAAGACTGAACGCCAGACACTATACGGTCCTACTCCGTCTATTCTATTCACGCAGTTGTTAGCCTTGGTTATTTCTATAACCTCAGCAATCAGCCTTTGGCTGATCGTAATCCCTTCCTGATAACCTCCACATTTTCGAAGTCAATTTCGTGTCCCGTGTCTATTGCTATTGCCGAGTCTCCGAGTAGAGCTCCATACTCTAGCTCATTTCGCGGAGGTCATGATATATGTCGCCTATGTTCTGACATCCTTGTACATAATTCCATCGCCGTTTGGCCTACATACACTTGCGTACAATCTTTACATGGAATTTCGTAAATGCAGTTAGTTATTCCATCTAAAAGGAGTGACTCCTTCAGATGCACAAGCGTGGACCGTAGCGTCTGGAAAGCTACCCTTGTCTTCTCTCCGAATCGATTCCGAAGTTCCTTCTTTATACGGAATACCCACTGTCGCTGTCCACTCTGTGCTTGGTGTTGCGCATGGATTGAGACATTTCCGTAGTTGTCATTTCACCACTCCTTTCGGATATGCGCTAGCTATTAAGTTTTTCATCGCCTCCCTATGCGCTGCTTTCTTATCTTCTTCCTCCGTGCACGGAGCACTTGTTCTGTGAAACATTGATGAGGCCATTCTCGCGTACGCGTGCTTTGGGTGGCTTGAACTATAGCTAAGTACTCCATCTGTGTCCAATGGTTTGCAACACATTGTCCTTTCTAACCTTCCTTCGTTCCTATGGACCAGACAATCAAGCAACGGAAGGGTATCGCTCTGCGACTCAAGTTCCATGGTGAACTTTATCGCATCGTCAATGGAGTTCAAGTAGTTTAACAATTCCTCTTCTCTACATCTTTTTTTAAGTGTCATCCACGTAACGCCACCGTACTTTCGAGGCACCACGGAAACTTGGTGCACGAATGGTGCGATGGGTGAGCATAGAACAAGACGAATTGATGGTCAGCTTCGATGTTACCTTTTTGTTCACGAATGTACCCAAGGAGAAGGCGTTACGATTAGCGAGAAGCTGTTTGATAGGGGACAGCAGCTTAGAGGACAGAACAGAGATAACAGTGCGTCAACTGCTGGAGGGGATAGCTTTGTGTCTCGACATGGCTTATTTCACATTCCAGTCTAGAATGTACACTCAAGAACAGGGTCTAGCCATGGGATCTTCAATATCCCCCGTATTAATCAATATGTACATGGAGGAATTTGAAAAAAGGCATTATTTGCTGAAAGGAAATGGTGTCCTTGTGGCCGTTGAAGTTCGCTGACTCAGTTGGCTCAAATAATTCTTAGTTGGCATGACTATTTTGTATAAATCTGGCTTCTCCTATGGTTCACCTTAACCTCTGTGCGTACAACTGCATGTTTTTTTGCGTATCCGTTTATTGACGTTTTGTATCAATGTTGTTAATCGGAATTTAGCAATAGGGCATTTCACACACAGCGCTGTGCTATCCAGATTACTGGCTTATGATGCTTGGAATCATCCACTAAGTCACTCAGCACCAATTTGTGCGCGGCATCTTTCTCTATTCGACGCAAAATATGTGGATTCTGAATGAATCGTTTTTGCAATGCTGCCTGTAGACCGTGATGTTCCACTCAGTTCGTGGCCTCCATACGTGTTGGGGCCTTGGTCATTTGCCTGTTTACCTGATCTATAAACGCTGATAACAGCGGATTTAATGCAAAACGTCATTGCGCCAAAGAAATTCGCTTTGTTACTGTGGTCTTCTAATTAAATTCATGGAACTTACGATTTAGTCTAATCCTTTTACTCTCATCTATTGCATAGTCATCAGGCTTTGCGTAGACATTCATTGTTTGATGAAACGATTGCTGCTACTTCTTTTTATCAGAATCACAGTAGCTTGGCCAATTTTATCAACAGTTTCTGTGCGCACAGGATACTTTTCGTTGCTAGCGAAGGTTTCTGTAAATAAGTGAATATAATCTTTTCCGATGTTTTCAACATTTTGAACAGGGCACTTTTTAATGGCGCGATAACCGGTTGCAGTGCTTTGCTTTAGGGAACCGAGGCTTTCATATAGTCGTCCTACCCACTTGTCGCATCTCGCCGTGTCGTTTTTTATGTACCCCCTGATTGATGGTCCCGTACATATTGTTCTCCTTTCTTATCACAGGACGCTTCCTATCGTGATTGTTCTATCTCTGTCCATCGTAACCTCAATCTACCTACTGGTAAACGTGGCTTATCTGGCTGTGTTATCGCCTTTTGAGGTCCTGTCGTCCGGCGATGGCTCTGCTGCTGTTGCTGTGGTGAGTGCTTTCCACTGCCGGCCTCCGCTGGCTGCCAGTTCCGACACTGTAAGGTGGCTTGTTTTCGTGCCAAAGTTCACGGTGTTTTCGCATTGTGGATTACAACTGTAGCATGCATGCTTTGCTTGAGTTAAGAAACCAGCTCTCTCTTTGTTTTGATGCTTTTCGGCCGACAAACATCGGTTCCTCCGAATTCTCCACGTTGGTCAGCTCGTCTGTAGTTGATGGCTGGTTTAACTTAAACCGTTTTTCTGCCCACAACAGATGCATTGTACCGTACAGGAATCTTTTTAAATCATAACGCGACCAAGCGTTGACTAATTGAATGGAATTCCTTCCCAAGTGTTTAACCCGCGAATTCAGGATTTGCCAGTGCCAGCTGACGACGGTCGGATGACCGACATAATGGATAGAGAGGGTTTCACTGAGAGAGAGCTATACGCTCCTTGAACGGCAGGCCCATTCCTGGATTTGCTGGTACGGCGTTTTACGACTAGCCTACAGCCAACTCTGCACTGATTGTGTCATCTCAATTGGCGACGAAACGTCTACTACCAAATTGCCAAGCTCGGCGAAGAAACGAACAACTGAATCGTCAACCCAAACCACCTGTATTCCGAAACGAACTAGCCTTGGTTTAGTATGGGAATATGACCGGCTAAATATTAATTTTATCACATCTTTTCTTCCTCCGTTGACGACCACTCATTTGTAGCTAACTCTTGATATAATCCTACAAATAGGTGCAAGAGTTGACGATAGCTCATCTTATCTTGGCTAGCACATACTTCAACAAAGCTTCGATGTTTGATCACAGGCTTTCTCCGAATTTCCCCCTAAAGCAGTACAAATCACACCGGACGATCAAGTCAGCATCGGATTGGAGCTTGATTGATGTCTTTCCTGTCTCGCCACTGCTGTGTATGTAATTTTGTAAACTTCAGTTTGTTTACGCTACACACCGTGTTGACAGATGGCCCACTTAGTCTATGCAGCTGCTGCTTATGGGCCCAAGAGGATTGCTTAGCTTTGCTGACAGAATGTACCGTCGTCAAGAAAGTAGACTCCACCCACTGTACTTTCGATTGACTCATCCGGTTTGATTCGCATCGTTACTGTCACGCTAGGTGGCCAGTGGTATAAAGACACTATCCTTTCGATTTCGGGCTTGATCTGTGACCCTTGAAGTGACTTATCTTGATGTCTACGTCTTGCAAATGGCACAAATCTTTGTTAATTTTCTCCGTGCTGTTTTGACAAGTTTGGTGCCTCGAACAGCTGAAGTCTCATCATCAAACAACACCTAGTATTTGGCGATCAATAGACTGCGTTGTGGTTCTTTGGCCTGGCGAGTTCCATAAAAATGGCAGACTGATAAGTTTGACACCTGCTCCCTTACCACCAGAACATTAATTCGCTTGCTTCGCTAATTTCGTGATTGGTTCCGTGGTTGACTCAGTAGGCTTGTTGCAACCCTAGCAGCGATGACTAAGTTAAAATACGATTTTCTTTGAACAGTACACCGTGATGTACCGCGATTTCGTCCCACTAGTTAAAGTAGAGCGTCAATTTTTCTGGAAACTGGTTACTTGCATCTGGTCATCCTCTCAAGATAACGTCTTCCAGATCACCTCTGTCTCCATGTGGCTACTTACGGCATTTAGAGTCGGCGTTCCGTTACCGTCAGATGTTATACCAAATTCTTTACCTCTATTTCTGTAAGTCAAGTCGAGACAAACATTTTTGCACCTGTGTGGGAACATTTTCAGCATTTTGCACTAACACTTCGGATATACTACGACATGGAATCGATGGGAAAATAATGCAAAGGGACAAGAGTTCATTTTAGATCAAGCAGACCGTCTCGCCATTGATCATTGCTTTTGAGTCGACTAACAAGCGAGACAGATAAGGCACTATGGAGTTGCGATACCACAAGATACGAGAAAATGGAAGTTTGCATTTCGACCGTCTGGAAATATTAGCTACCGTACTGGCTTGTACGGTGTGCAGAAGGTGAGAGGCGTCGTTTTGAATCTTGGATGAAGAGTTAAAGCATGTGTCGAAATGCTTGCTAAGCATAAAATCATTCAGGGATTCTTTTCTAAATCCAGACCATCGGGAAATAACTTTTCGTGAGCACACAAGAAGAGTATAATCCTTTCGTAGAAGTCCGGGGAAAATGAAAAGGGAACACCATGACACTATGACTTTAGTGAGTGCACAAGAAGAGTAACGGAGAAACAGTATAACCACTGGAGGCGAATACATGCATTTATGAACCTTAGAATTAGAGCACGCGGTACGGAGAGTATTTTGTGCCTGATGGAGTAAAGGGATTGTCTTTTGCCTGTTTGAAGTTTTTCCAGAATATGCGTCGACCAGGGTAAATTGTGCCACAAAATACCGAAATCCTTCGCGGAATATAAACGAGGCATGTTTTGAGCACTCATGACCAAAGGAGGAGAGGTATTTTAATAATTACGCAGTCTGTCGGGGCAGAGAAAGGAAAATGTCACATCACAACACAGAAAGATTAAGGCTGAGGCATTGAGAGCTTGAACGAGTCAAGAGTTTGTCTAATCCTCGTTGGAGTTTCGAAGATTTCTCTATTATTGGGGTTATATGCCCTAGGAGGACGTCATTCACAAAGTTACATCCAAAAAATTAGTTGGTATAAGCTGGCATTCAACATAGAGGGAATAAGAAAGAGGGGTAAAATAGCTCCTTGCAAAGGCCCGTGGATAGTTGGGATTGCGGGCGACATTTTACCGTATAACTACGTCAGCTGTGCGATTGTGAAGTAGTCACACATTACATTACATACGTAGGGGGGAACGTCGTTTTCGAACAAAAGAGTCAGTAGTAACAAGCTGTCAAGGCTCCCAAATGTGTTAGTGTAATCGACGAACAGTAGTCGAACAGTCTTGCACTTTTCTCCAAAGCAAATGCAACGAAACGACATCCAGAATAGAGAGCTCTGGTTTGTATGCAAACTGTTTGCTATCATTTGCATGATCACTTCCGAATGTTCGAGGGATTAGCAGTTTTTCAAACATCAACTGCACCGAGGCGCACCCTATTAGCCGATACTTCCGTTATTCCCTCTTTTCACACGTCGGGGATAGTACCAGCCGTTAGACTTCGGTTAAAAATCGCTGTCAGAGGTGAACCATACATCCGCTCACTCCTAGCAATTGTCGACAGGGCATCATTGCCACTAGCTTTGTTTGGTTTCAGCCTTGTGAGTTCCCTGTAAACACTGATGTGGTCAAATAAGAATGGATGATCAGTGATTTGGGAGGTAGGGGAATGTGTTCGCTGCTGAACTTGTCTACATCCTCAGTAATACTAATACTACTACTACTACTACAACTAGTAACCTAATGTGTCAGCTGTACGCCGTAACGGCGCTTCACTGCCGCGCGACCATCTCAAGTCGCGCGCAGACTGAGGGTATCCGAGAACGCCCACCCCTACATCCAAAGTACCGAGTAAGATACTAGCATTTTTGCCCATGAGTTGCTTCAAGAGCCTCCATAGGTCACGGCAACTGCGCTTTCCTAAAACAGCTTCAATGTATAAACCGTTTAACCTATTTACCTCGGCTTTTATAGCCACAGGTAGACATTTTACACCTACAGATAACTTATATTTTCAAGTCTGTTCTTTTCTTCTACGCAGTTACTTGAGTAGTGGAGGAAATCTACCGATCCGATGACAGACGGTCTCATTTGGCAGTAAAGATTGAGTCGGAAACTAATATAGTCTGTGAGGGGCTCCTATGGCACTGACAGGTCCTCATTGGCAAAATTCGAGCCTTGCAGTGTTTTCTGCTAAACAGTGTCGCCTCTTAACAGTTTTGAACGGCCTTTTGTCATTACACCGTAGTTGGTCTTACGGCCAGTCTTGGGGTATACGTTCACGAGGCAGTGGTCTGAATTGCGCTTCTTTGTGTGAAAAGCGGGTTGTTTGTTAGTAGAAACTAAACCAAAAGGTGCGTCAAGTCTAGGTGGAAATTCTACTAAGTTGTTTGGGTCCATCTTTTTAATGGAAACAGTCTCATTTCTATTGAAGACACCAGCGATGATGCATATAGAACATTCTAACTTTGGCTGCAATTCCGAGACAAGATGATCTGCAAACTTTCTTATCTTTGGCAGTGCTGCGTTATGCTTTACATAAATGTTCCCAACTGCAACCGATAGAAAACCAGTAAGAAACTGGTTTACATACCAACATGTAGATTGTTGAAATCGTTGTGGGACCGATGTGCAGCAATCTTCGCTAACGTACATGATCAAACCTCCGCGCTGCTGGGGTTTTCCTGGGTAGTCGGATCTAATGTGTCGATAGCCATTGAGTTTCACGATTTCATCATCTATGTCAAGATGTAACCAACTTTAGTGTTACGTCACTGTACCTGCGTTTGAAAATTCTCTTCCTTCTGAAAGGTTCTGGAGATTAACAATTTTCCCTGGAAGCTATCAAACATTACTAGACAGGATAAGCAGAATTTGTGCATTGCTCACAGATCAGGTCAGAATGCAAAGACGATACCGATTTCCGCCTAATGAGCGTCTTGCTTTTTGTGCCGATAAACGAACCAGAGCCCCTGGCACTTCAACAGTTGATCGCCTTTCATAGCTTCTGCAAAAAGAAATGAGACAAGAAAGAGAACAATCTTTGCATTTTCATGGACCAACATCAAATATCACTGCACGAGGTCTTGCTAATAAATTTCGATAAAATTACATTATTTCTGAAAAAAGATGTGACTATCACCTATTTATACCTCCTGCTACTTCATTCTCGCAGTCCACTAACTCAGAAGGTAATGTATTCCAACTACGTACTTCACGGTTCGTGAAAGATCTCTCCCTGAGGTCCAACCTAGTCCTCTGTTGCTCAAGCTTCAAATAATATCCTCGCAAGTGATCGGTAGTAGCCAGCTCAAATTAATTAGTAGGCTTGATGCCACTGAGGCTCTTCATTATCTT